TTTTTTTTTTGTTTCCCCCGGTTGTCCCCCCAGAAAAAAAAAAAAAGGAAAAAATTTTTTTTTTTTTTTTTTTTTTTTTTTTTTTTTGACGACAAATCTCGGCACGCAATGTGAAAGTGAAAAATGTAAAATAAAGCAGAAGAAAACAATACAGAAAATAATATTATGAATGATTGTATTCATGAAATACTTATAGAAATAATCTAATATATTTATAGACAACACCCCAGGAAAAACCAACATTTTTTTATTTATTTTATGTCAAACAAATACTCTATTTTGTTTGATGATCTGGATTTTATCAATACGAAATTCAAATACAGAAATGATAAATTACATTTAAATCGAACAACAGTTATTAGTTATTTGTTTTTTTTAATGTCAATTTCGGTTGATTTGATTGATTGATTGTTGAAAACGTATAAAGAATGATAAAGTGAAAGAAAACATTCATTCAATTCATCATAATATAACGCTTGTTTCTTCTGTTACAAAAAAAATATTATATTTCAAAAAAATTCATGAAAAGATTATGAAAAGGCGTTTTTATACAATTTTTTTTTTTGAAAACTCGTTTTTCATTCTTTCTTGATGATTAAACATTGTTTTTCTTTCTAAATTGCTTCGATTTTAGTTATTATTATTTCCTGTTTGATGATGGAAATCAAATGAATTTGTTTGTTTTCTTCACATATTTTGACTTAACATCAACATGTTGTTGTTATTGTATTTGATGTTGATGATAATTTACTTGACATAATTTCATTAACATATGCTAGTATATTTCAAATAAATTAATTCAATATTGGAATTGTTTTAATTAATTAATTTTGATAATTTTTTTGTTTTATTTTTAATAGAAATTTTAACAAAACATTGGAATTTAAATTGGAATTTGTTTACTATAAATATGGATATTATTTGCTAAAGTTATTGGTGAATATAATCGCGGTGGTAATGGGGAATTCTGGATTACCATCGGGAAAAAAACAAGATAATGAAAAACATAGTAAAGGATATGGAGAAGAAAATGATGAAAAATCGAGTTCAAAGACAAGTGATTACTCACGACGATCAACAACATCAAGAACATCAAAAAAAGAATCATCGAGAAAATCGAATAAGCATCCTGGTCAACAATGGTCAGCTTCATCGAGAAAAGAAAGATCGTCACATTCACGTACATCAAAAAGGGACATAAAATTATCACCATCAACAAAAAACAAAAGAGAATCTTCACGTACAAGCAAAACTAGAAAGAAAAGAGAATCTTCACGTACAAGCAAATCTAGAAAGAAAAGAGAATCTTCACGTACAAGCAAATCTAGAAAGAAAAATGAATCATCAATGATAAACAAATTGAAAGTGGGAAAAGATTCACCACCGATAAACTTATTAAAATTGGGAAAAGAGTCACCCGCGATAAAATTGAAAAATTCACCACTACTAGATACATTGAAAAAGGAAAAAGATTTATCACTGTTTGACTCATTGGCAAAGATGAAAGAATTATCATTGTTAGACGCATTGAAAAAGATGAAAGAATCATCATTGTTGAACGCATTAAAAACGAAAAAAGATTCATTACCTATAGACATGTCAAAAAAAGAAATATCATTGTTAAACGCATTAAAAACGAAAAAAGATTCATCACCAATGGAAATGTCAAAAAAGAAAAAGGAAATGTCTTTGTTGAACGCATTGAAAACAAAAAAAGAGTTATCACCAATGGACATGTCAAAAAAGAAAAAGGAAATATCATTGTTAAACGCATTAAAAACGAAAAAAGAATCATCATCAATGGAAATGTCAAAAAAGAAAAAGGAAATATCATTGTTGATAGTGTCATCAAAAGAAAAAAAAAGTTTATCGCCACTGCAAAAAGAAAGACCACCATCAAAACCTGAAAAAACGAGACCAGTCAGTTTGGGATTAAAAACTAAAATCAACAAAGAAATTTTAAAAAGTATTCGGCCCACATTGGATTCATTGCAATCAGAAAAGGAAGAAAGTAAACCAAAAGAAATTCTTGTAACAAAAATAAATGATTCGATAAAAACAATTGAATTGAAAAATACAATTAAATCGTTCAAAGAAATTCAAAAAACGATTCGATATTTAAAAGACGAAGAAAATGAAAAGGTTAATCAATTAAAATTAGAAACAAAAAATGTTGAAAAAAAAACAATGCTGAATATGACACTAGCTAATGCTGATTATGATCGTAATCCAATTAATATAACTAAGCAAAATGATGGTCAACAAACAACTACAATGAATGAAATGAAAAATAATTATGTAATAGATTCTACAATGAAGAAAAATTATGTTATTGAAAAGATAAAATCTAAAGATCAAACAAAGTTGATAACAAAACAATACGAATCGATGGGTCCAATAATTACACCGATACCATTACTAATTGATGATAATGATGATGATGATACTGGAAGATTAAATTTTTCAACATTACCTTTGGATATTGCAGAACTTGATTCACTACCATTGGAAAAAAGCATGAAAAATAATGAATATTATTCGATTGTTAGTGAAAATTCATCATCGGATGAATATCTAATCGATGAATCAAGACCATGGATTAATAATGATGATTATATGAATCGATTTATCACTTTCAAACCATTTCCTACCAAAAAAACTCCACAATTAAAAAAACAGGAACGAATTTCAACAACTGAAACAATTGATAAAGAAGAACTAAAAGTAAAAAAATTTAGTTCATTAATAATGAGAATCAAACAAAATAATGAACGCCGGAAACGAATCCGATTACAACAACGAGAAAAGGGCCAATATAAATTATTGAAAATTGTTCCGTTTAAAAAGGAAATAAAATCACAAACAAAAGTCTTGGATATGGCTAACAGAAATAACAAAATCAATGAGAATCTTAAAGGGAAAGAATATCAATGATGAGAATTTTTTTTTAATTAATTGAGCAATCACATCAATTTCTTTATAAGATATTTTCATTTTTTTAAAGAAAAAAAAATTCAACAAAAACAAAAAATCTTTTTTTTGTGTGTTTTATGTATGTCAGCAATGACAATCCAAAATAAAAAATAATAATTATCATTAGTTTTCAAATACATTTTTTTTTCGTGCCAGTCTGTGTAGAAAATAAAAATACAGAAAATTTGTCAGAAATAAATTTAATGAGACAAATACATTGATAAAATTATTCATTATATTTGTGAATAATGTAAGTCGAAAAAGATCAATCATTTTTTATCGTTTTAATTCTAAAATTACTCTACATACCACTAGGAATTGATCAAGAAAAAATTCGTGATGATATATATAGAATAAATTATAAATTATTATCGATTTGATTAATATATTGACAATCAAAATGTTTATTGTTTTTTTTCTTCAATCAATCGATATGTTCAACAATATATTGGATCGAAAATTACAAATCGTTTGTTTCTTCCTGATATCTTTTAGTAATATATTTGGCGGCTTTAGTTAAATGTCCCATTATTGTATACAATGCCGATAAATGATACATAAAGCATCCGATAATTTGTTGTACGCGATCTTCAGATGTGTCATTACCATCATCAAACGTATGGCCAGCTGCAGCCAATAAAGTTGATAGACTTGTTGCACGACTAACATAGCTTAATGATAATGAAGGTAACAATAATGATGGTGATAGCAAATCTGATGGAGAGTCGTCCATGGATGAATGCATCATTGGACAAGGACTTGATAGTTTCCGATCAAATTGTGTAGGTGGCAACAATAATGTTGGTGAGATTTTTGTACCATTTGTTTGAGTTCCATTTGTTATTGTGGAATTGCTTATACCATTACTAGAACCAACTGAATATGAACTTCGACGACTCAACGAATGCGTTGGCGTTACACGGCCACTATTCTGTCCACTATTCGAAGCGCTTGGATTCGGTTGAAATGTTTTAAAAAATAGAGAACTGCTGAACAAATCGTTTTTAACTGTATTTAACATTTGGAAGAATGAATATAGATCAGAATTTGTTGGCATCAATTCTGTAGCATCAGTTTCACGAACTTCAATGTCACGTAAACGGCTTGGTACGAGAACTTCGTCATTCATTTTACTAACAGCATCAACAAATGCCATAATAGCACGATTTGTATATGAATTATGATTGTATGATTCAGATTTAGAATTAGAACCAACCAGATTAAGATTCAATTGTGATTTGCGTCGTGATTGTTGTTCGGCACCCAATATCAATACATCATCAACTTCCAAATGATTTGGACTTGAATTTTGCATTTTTATTTATTTTTATATATTGCAACAACGGTAAATTTGGTCAGCAATTTAATATCGTTGATTTTTTTAAATATTTAGTTGAAATTTATTTTTTGATAATTCAAAATTTACGATGACGGTTGCCAATGGGGAAAAATGAAAATAATCCGATTTTATTATGATCGATAATTATTGTCTGCATATAGTAGAATGAGGAAATTAGAAAAATTAAAAAAAATTAAAAAAATGTATTGAAATTTTTTCAAATTGAAAAATTTTAATTAAAGGAAACAATGTTACAAAGATATCATACATTGAAATAAAACTAGCATGTACATTCCGACAATGTTAAACTAATAATGAATGATCTAAGAAGGACAGTAGCTGAATAATTTGAAGGTGAAACAAATCAACACAACAATCATAGAGATTAATTTAATGTATCAATGAATGGAACAAATATAAGAAGGAAAATAAATCAAAATAAATAAATAACACACTTGAATACATACACAAGAAAAAAAACAAGTTCAAGACAACAACAACACACGAAAAAAATTGTTCCGTTCAGTATTCTTTCTTGATTGATTAAAATGTGAACATATTAAAAACATTAACAAACATACGAATGATTATCATTCATATGACCAAAACATGCAATAACAAATTCACTGTAATTATTCAATTTAATTTGGGTAAATCGAAATGAAACTTGATTGTCAATAATAACAACAACAACAACAAAAACAAAAAATTTGTAGTGGTTTGTGGTGATGACAAAATGTTGTCCGAATGGTATAAAAATAAAATGGTGTGATCGTAATTGAGGATATTCGTATTTGGTCAAATTTTTGTTATGACAATGTTTGTTATTGATATTATTTTGTCGTATATGTTTGGCCAAATACAGAATGTAGAATTGAAATTTCTGAATGATTATGTGAAAAAATTGGCTACAAAGCTGAGATGTTCTTCAATTTTATCGATTGATTGATATGTCTACATCAACAATTTTCTTCTTGAAATACTTCTCTTTAAAACTCTCAAAAAAAAAATCCATCTAGCTATCTCTTCATGTAACTCTATCCATCTTTCTCTTTCTATTTCATTTCAACTTTCTCCAATGGAATTCACTATCTTACTTTGATTGTTCAAAATATTTCATTTGATGACGCACACATCGACAGGTACATGATGATAATGATAATAATTATTAAACATTCATCGTATAAGATGATTATAATGATAATGAATAGAAAAGAAAAACATTTCAACATCAGGTTTTTTTCCGACCGAAAATAAAATTCGAAGATTGATTCAATGAAAGAATGTAATGAAAATTAATCAATGAAGCTATACGGATCTGATTGATGGAAAATATAAAAATTGTGAATACATTGAAAATTATGCATTGATAATATGATCAATTCACTGAACTTTTCAACTTAATTGAATACAAAAAAAATGTCTAAATATTGTCATTCTGTTCAATGATCATCATTATTTTTTATAATAATAAATAAAAAAAACAAGGAATATAATTTGAGAAATATATTGCTACATTAATGGGTGACAAACAGATATAATTTATGCATGCAATGAATTTAATGTTTACCATCAATATATCATCAATAGAATGAAACTATATGTTCATTTATCGGTTTATTATTGATTGCCAACATTTCAACAATATCAAGGATAGAATCCTATGCATTCACTTTCACTATCAATTATTTCGACAATTAAATGCAAGAACATAAATTGAATGACAAAAAAAACAAACATACAGACCTTTTTTTTTTGTTGAGTTTGTTTTACATCTTGTTTGTTTATTTGTTTTTAATATGTAGAAATACTGTTTACGATTAGGTGATGTTTTGTTGATAATATTTGATTAGGCAATTATTGAAATAAGAAAAATATAGAATCGACAAACATGATTCGTGATAACGATAATGAAAAAGAAAACTAACTAGCTAGCTAGCTAACTAACAAGTAATTGGCAAGGTTAACGAAAACTTTGATTGAGGGAATTTTTTTCAAATCTGTTGATCGTTTTTACCGAATATAAATTCAACTTGGAAATTTAGAATTAAATTCAATATAAGAGAGAAAGAGAAAAATATTGTCTCTTATTAAAAATTGATGATCAAACCAACAGATCGCAATAAAATAAAATGATTGAACAAGATGATTTTAACGATGATTGTTGTGAGCAGTCGGAAAAGAAGTTTTAAAAACAGGTTGACAAAATTGTCATTTGGGTACTTAAAAAATAAAAAAATCATATAGTCATTGAAAAAAAAATTTTACTTCACTCTTCTATTTCCACTACTTTATCTCTTTATAGTGATTATGAACGACAATGTTTGATTTCTAACAGGAAATTGATTGATTCATTTACATATAATGAATCAATGTAATTGAAAATAAAAAATCAAATGAAAAAATTGTAGACATCATATCATTATGGAAAAAAAGAGAGAAGAAATCGATCGATTCAAAATCGAACGTCAGCTTGAAATTTCGTAAAATGATTGCTTTTGTGTGTGTGTACGTGTGCTCAATAGCAATTATTTTGATGGTCAAATTACGTCATTTTTTCGTAATCATCATTACTTTTAGACCGATGACGTTACCATCAATTATTATCAATAAATATACGATTTGCAGCATATAGTACAGTTCAATTTATTTTTTGTTCCGGCAAAAAACCCGAGTCTTTGTAAAAAATTGGTAAATTTTCACACAATGTGTGAGTGCGTTCGAATCTTTATTTTGTTTTGTCCAAGAATAAATGGACACTCAGAATCTGAGGATGACTGATAATTTTCACAAATATCATCTATCCTTCAATAAGGGTATATGGGAAAATTTTTTCGTACACAGGAAAATAGGCAAACACTTGTGGCCATGAGAGATCATTGAATGGTATTGCCATCACATGAAATTGTTGGTCAATACTCAATTTTCCATTGTAGGGATAGCATTCAACAAAAAAAATGATTTTTTCACTAAATATTGCTGTTTCAATTTCCAGGTTTTTTCAACAATTGTTGGTCGTTATTTATTTCATTGCTTAGATTTGTAATAGTTATATGGAATAGATTGCAATCAGATTTTAAATAATTTGTTGTTGACCTGAAATATTTTCTCATTACACACAACACACATATACACAAAAAATTAACCACGAGGTTCTTGTTTGAAATTCTATGGCGTAGTTTGTTCATTAGAAATTAGCATTGGTTTCAGCATCATGAATATTGTTTTGTCAATATTTACTCTTTTTCCAATATGATCCAATCATAGTTTATTTGGCTTATCATTTTATCACGGTTGTTATAGTGATTGATTTTAATGGAAAATATCGAATCGATTTATTATGGATCAAGAATCCATTACTTATTTTGAGAAAATTCATTTTGAACGGTACCTATGGTTGAAAGTGTGCAATTTGTGTAACAAAAGAAAAAATGAGTAAAACAAAAACATCCAACAGTATAAATCCTAAACGATGTAAAGCTAATGCTCGTGAACGTAATCGTATGCATGGCCTAAATCAAGCATTGGATCAGCTTCGTGCCTGTATACCATTGAAACATCTTGAAATGAATCAAACCGTTTTCAGCCGAAAAATACAAAAATTATCAAAAATTGAAACATTACGTTTAGCAAGAAATTATTTAATTCTTTTAACTGAAATACTACATAACCAATCACAGGATGTTAACCAATCTTCAATTGATAATTTAACGATGGGGCAGATATTAGCATATGGTTTAGGTCGACAAAGTTTAAATCATCTATCCTTACAGATGAATTTTTCCAGTGCTCGTATGTTAAGTCAACCATCGCCAAATGTACAGCAAATATTTGCCAAATTTGGTTGTTGTTCACCAAAATCGGACGATTATGCATGGATGACAATGTCTGATGAAAATTTTATTCAATCTTCATCATTATAAAATTGTATGTGAGAAATCCTAATCCTCATTTATTATCTTGAATAGTTGAGAGAAATTTTTCTGTTTGATGGATTCACGGCAGGAATTAATGAATGCCGTTTTGTATGATCCGACTAAAAAATTGAAATAAAAATGATGATTAAAATAAATTATTCAAAAAATAACTTACTGCGAAGATTTGATGCTCTTTGTATAATAATATTAATCTGTTTGAGACTATCAACCAGATCCTGATGATTTTGGCAACGAATCTGGTATTCACGCATTATATCTTTATTCATCATTCCTAAATCATTATAAATTTGTTTCATCTTTTGACTACAGAATTTCAGAAGATTATATTATGAGAAAGAAATTCGCCAAATTTCTTCAAAACTTACTATTGTTCAGTTAGTCTGGCATCTTCTGCTTGTACAACAGCAGCACGAATCATATTGGCATTGTCAGCAACTTCCACCACCAAATGTTGTCGAACGCTCTGAATCTCTTCAACACGATCAACTAATTGTTTTAGTTTATTAATTTCATCGGGGAAATTAGCTCGATAACAGGGAAGATTAACAATTTTGAAATGCTCGCCTAATGATTGTACACAATTTCCGGCTACTTCAATAGATTCTGAATAAATAGTTATTAATGATTTAGATGATAAATCAGGTGAATCCGATGTTTGCGACAAAGGATTTATTGTATCGAAATAGTTATAATCCTCATCATTTTGTTGTCTGTTATCCCGATCATTCGAGAATGATGATTGATTTTGCGAATTAAATCGAGTTAATTCAATAATCAAGCCACTTTGATCACGAAGTGAAATAAATTCAAAACGACGTTCTTCTTCATTATTTTCCGATTGTAAATCAACAAGAAAATTTCCTGTAATCCATTGAATCTACAATGAGTGGATAATAACAAAGAAATAATAAATAGATTTAAAAAATCTAACATTTGACGACAACGGACATACTAAATTTCCAATTTGTTCATTCATACGAATAGCCACAAAGCTTGAAGGTTGTCGAACTTCAATGTTATTTGTGAATGATTGATTAAATGTACTTTGATTCATTGACATCATATCCACAGTTTCATCGTTTAATGCATTAATAGCCATACTATCAAAGTTGGTGTCGTCATATCCAACTTCATTAATAATTTCATTTTCATTGATTTGATCGTAATATTTTTTCAGATTTTCATCATCTTCTTCAAGTAATCGACTATCATCTCCAAATTCTCCAAGTTGAGAACCATCGATAAAATTTTTCTTCTGCAAAGATTTCATATCCGCTGGAATTTGGTTTTCGAGCCGTTTTATCTTGGATCGACCAATGTCTAATGTTTTTTGATCGGTGCCTGGAATGGTCAATTTAGAATCATCATTGTTGTTATTTGAATCCTCATCACCAATGTAGATTCTACGAATAAAACTATACATTGAGAATCGTGGTAATCTCCGTGAAAGTTCAAAAACATGATAATGAGTACTCGAACGGAAACCAACCAACGCCTTCACATGCATATCGACTGGAACATCTTTTGGTGGCTTTAATGGAACACCAATCATATTGCTAACTTCTGATTCTGGTGGATAAATAACAATCGATTCATGTTTAAATATTCCTTCGGCAAATATTATTGCGGCTCGTATACGTGTATTATTAGTTGTTTCCAAACGTAACTCGATGAAATCCTAAAAAAAAATATTCTAACCTAGAACTTCATACATCACATATACTGACCGGAAGAGAATCATTACATGATTGGAGAATCAACGATGATCGTAATTTCGTGCTAGCCGGTATGGCTCCAAAATGATCACCTTTTTCTGTTAGAACTTTTCCTTTATTCATCACTAATGGATCGGCTAAATTTTGTATGCGCGCATTCTCTTCATAATTACGAAGTTCTTGCATCAATGTTTGCTTTCTCTTCATCAAATCTCTTATTGTATCTTGTTCTATATTAAAATTAATTTGTTGATGGCTTTCTTCTTGATTTTCCATTCGATAACCATAGACATCACCAGCGACAGTACATACAATCAATTCATCCTTTCCGTCCATATTATAATCGGCAATCATGATGCCAGCAACAGAACATTTATAATTTTCACGGTATAAAACCTCTCCAGTCATGGCGATTCGAATGTCTAATTTTCCATTCGACCAGCCAGTTAGTAGTTCCATTTGACCATTATTATTAATATCGGCACCAAACAATGTCATCGCCTGATTTTTTGATTTGATTCTCCAAACTCTCTCCTTGTTTTGATAGACACCAACAGTACCGTTAGATAAAGCATAAGCAAACAATGTAGGTCCAAGCGAACATAAATGTGTAACACAATCTGTTTCGCTCATCTCGCAAATAATGGCATCCTTTTTGAAAACTTGAATCTCACAATCTTGGGATCCGACCACAAGCTATAAATAGTATTCATCAGATGGCATTACTGTTTCGAGTAAATTGAAAATTTCACTTCTTACTTCATTTTGATGATCGCTATCAATATCGACTAATGCCATTGCCGTGATATTATCACCAGTAACCATCCAATAGGCATCTTGTCCTTCACGATCGTATCCGTGAATTGCACAATTACCACCAATTAATGCGAATTTTGATCCATCTAAAATTTGTCCAAATTCACCAATCACCAGTGTATTTGCGCCATCCGGTATCTAATAAATAAATTCAGATATTATTTTCATCAATAATAAACAATTTATGGCCGTTTTTTAAACTAACTTCCTTATAATAAAGATCCGAATTATGTAGAATATCATAAGCATGGATTGATGTTTTTGTTCCAACAATAAGAATATCGTTATTCTTATTAGTTTGTTGTAGATTTTTGGACTTTAAAGAAATTTTACGGCCACTTCCAGCACTATTGATCAATGTTTCTTTATTCGAAGTAATGACAACACTGCCACTATGGGGAGCTATATCGTTATCGTTTAGTGTATCTTTTAATGAAATCGACGAAATCGAACCAGCAGCAAGACAAGTAATTGTCTGATTAATGTTAAGAAAATTAAGATCAGCAGCGATAGTGGCAGAAGAGTGTTGAGCCAATCGAATTCCATCATTTGTCGAATCTCTATTCGATTTCGATTGTTGTTGTTGTAAATCGTTTGGATCGTAGAATGAACGATTGTGTGGATTATGAACAAATATCTGCAAATAATTTATTGATTTTATTTAATTATGGCTAATAATAAATAATAGATTTTGATTACTTTATCTGATCTAGTTACAGCAACGATACTTGGATGTATACCATCAAAATAACCGATGGTAACTTTACCCGGTTTAATTGGTTCACTTAGATTGATAGTAAATTCAGTGTTCAACATTGGCATTATTGATGACCAAATTTATTTAAAAGTTATATGAACTTTAATAATCTATTCAGATTTATGAAATTTTCAAAATTATTATTATTATTATTAACAAAACAATATGGAATCAACGAGCCGCAAAATGAAATATAATGTTTTTGTTGACATTTTTTTTTGGTTTTGTTTTGGATACTGAATCCCATAATGGTTTCCATTGGTAACATTATTTATGTGATTCATCATAACATTCGAATTGCATGTATTCACTTTTATTTTGAATTAACAAAATAATATTAATATACGTTTTAGATTCATTCATTGTCTATTCATTGAATTGAATTATCAACGACATAAGGACAATTTATTATGAAAAAAAAACGATATTGGTTCGGGATGGAAAAAATCATCATTTCAATTGAAATTTCTAAATCAAATAAAATGAAAAAAAATCGATCAGACAATAACATTGATGAACAATTAGTTTCGTACATGAACCGTTTTCAATTGTTATTTGTTTCCCATGTTTCATAGCATGTTCGGACAAATTTGGCATCTCATTTTTTCTGAATCAAATTCTGAAATGAAATTTTTTTGGATCTCAATGAACAATGTATCAAGAAAATGGGAGTGACCTGGTTTGATTTTATTTTTTTAATTAAAATGTATTTTTTTTCGAAATCCTTTATACGATTTGTTCAAGTACAAGAATTACACGTGTCAACATTTTTATACAAACAGACACACGTCATCATTAAATTGAATATAAATTGTTTATCAATAACACCGATAATGTGATAATCAGATTGTCATTAATATTATTATTCAACATTATCAAAGCTGATGATGAATAATCCTCTATAATATTCACACGTGTCATCACATACATATACCAAACATATCGTTTGGAAAGCACGCGTAACTTTTTTTTTCTTTTGTTCCTTCAATCATCTTTCGGTATATTTTTATTCATTGATCGTTTTAAATATTCAATCACAATTACAATGTCAAAGGTCGTATATTGTTCATCCCGTCATTTTCAATTGTTCGGATCAACAAAAAAAAACCAATTTGAGATTTGTAATATTTAATACTTGTATTTATTATTACAATTAAAATGGAGAACCCAAATAAAAAAAAAATCTAATTTTGAATAATATACTGTTCGACATCAACAACAATGACAATATCGTATCGTGACATATTACAGATCAAATGCATAATCATTGTGAAAGCGAAACAAAATGATAGAGAAAAAAAAATAAAGTTATATTTGTTCATCGTCATTGAAAATATCGGATTTCTGAAATTATAATTAAAAACCAACAAACTAATATTGAACATTATTATTACTGTTATTCATTTATGAATTCATTGCATTTTGTTCATTGAATAATAAAATTATGGACAAAAAGAGTTTTTTTTCGTAGCATACTGTGTTCGAAATGAATGAATAAAAAAGAATGGGGGTTAGAAAAGAGAAATAAAGAATTCGAATTCTTCATTTTTTCTCTTTAATTTGGTTGGCCAGCATTTTACATTTATAGATTGACCAAATATAATAATAATAATGATAATAACCCGTTCTGAAATTTCATCTCCATCGTACAATTGTCCAGCGAGGAATTTTTCATCTGTTATATTTATATATCGGAATTCTTTTGGCAATTTCGTTTCATTGAAATAAATTTCAAAATTTTTTCCTTTTTTTCTGGTCTCTATGCAGAATTTCAATTCAATTAAGAGAATTGTATTCATTCATTATGAATAGTGTGAACACACACACAAATGCAAGAAGATTTTTCTGTCGAACGCGATAGCAACCAAAAAAAAAAAAAAAATTATTAAATCTCTAACTCTATATCTGTTTTTGATATTGAATGTGGAAAAACAAACATATACAAAAGTATGTTGCAATAAGATTTGTTGTTATAAAAAAAAGAGTTATATTTCGATTACTTGTATTAAAAAAAATAAATAAAAGAATTGAATGATTTTATTTGCATACCATTCAAATAATCATTTGATTATTTCTGTTATAAGAATTTTCAATAATAAGAAACAATACTTTTTTTTATCAATACTGACTTGCTTGACTGACTTGATTATGAATTCAATCGTATTGCAAATCAAAAATAAATCAGATTTTAATTTGAACATAAAGAATGTTATTTTTTGTTTTGTTTTGATCGATATTGAATTTTGATTATATCTCATTGCTCGGCTATTAATAAAACAAAATATTAAAAAAAAATCCGATTCGATCGATCCACGATTGAATTAGATTCGATACATATAATAAGTTTTCGGTTATGTATCGTGTTTATCCGTAAACGCGTACCCACACACATACAGACAAATATTACAGCGAATAGTCAAGCCATAAGGTCCTCCTCTTTCTTTCTATTACGGTTAACTTTGAACAATAACCGTAGGTGTATCCGATTCCGAATATATAGTTTAAGCATTCTGATTGGTTCATTTGAAAGATAATATTTTCGGTAGTATATCAGTATAGATTTTGTGAATGTGTAAGATGTATTAATGTTTTTTTTTCTGGTTCCTGGATCGAGCATGTCGATATAAAAGAATTGTCTGACAATTTGTATTAACTCAGAAAAAAATACGATGCAAATCATCATCATCAATATTATCATTTGATCTTAGTGATGATGATCATATCAGAATTGACATTATAATTTTGAAAAAATAATTATGTCCAATCAAGAAGAAACGAATATGAATGTTGATAATTTTAAACAACAATCATCATCAGCATCAAGTAATTCGATTAAAATTTAAAAAATATAAGAATTTTTATTCGACATTTTTTTTGAAAATTTCTTATTTGAACAGATTATCCAGATATGGAAAATCATTATGATCAAAATCAACAAGCAAATAATCATCCATCCGATAACAATTGGCCATCATCATATGTTTTGCTTGATGATAATGGCAGTTCATATCATCAATATCAACAACAACACCAACATGATCAAAATGAATCGAATGAAATAAAACATGAATACAACATTGACATTCACTATCAATCTGTTTCAGATAATGATGTGACGAATTATCCCAGCAAATCATCATTTGAACCTACATCTTTTCAAGATGGTCGACAAGAACAAAAACATTTGATACCTCTTGAAAATAGTTATACTAGTCCTATGAATGAAGAATCTGAACAACATTCTATGAAAAATGGCAAAGAAATTGTGACGAAAATTGAAACAGAAAAAAACGTAACATGTAATGTTAATGTGCAAAAACCAATTACCTTACGACCACATTCAACTCCAGCAACATTAATGTGGCTTGAGAATAACTATGAATTAGCCGAAGGTGTTTGCATACCTAGATCGGTTTTATATCTACATTATATTGATTTTTGTCAAATCAATCGTGTTCAACCGGTGAATGCGGCAAGTTTTGGTAAAATAATTCGACAACAATTTCCTCAATTAACCACTCGAAGATTAGGCACAAGAGGACAGTCCAGGTTTGTTTGTTTATTTCATTTTAAAATACTTTTTCTATTGTTTCATCTCACAATTATTTGAATTTCTATTTGTTTTGAAATAAATTACAATACAGATATCATTACTATGGAATTGCAGTAAAAGAGAATTCAGCTTATTATCAGCTATCCTATTCAAAAAAATCTGTACAATTACAATGGTATGTTTTTTTTTCCAAAAATTTGTTGGTGCAAATGTGTATGTGTGTGTGACTAATTGCCATTTACACTAATCATAATCAGATTAAAAACAATAGTGTGAAGAAAAAAAATCTAATCAAAATAAGATTATATTTTTGTGTGTGTCCAAGTAATAAATTTAATTGACTAATATGATAACTTAATTTTATCCAACTTTTGATCCGATTATAAGCATTGGCAATTAATCGGATTAAACTATGTGATTATGAACACGTGCATATTGTACGATATTAAATTATTTTATTCCATTTTAACCCTTTCAATATTTTTATTGTTTCAATTATTAAAGTTCGGAAAATGGTCGAAAATATAATGCTAATGGTAATAATAAATCAATAATGAAAAGAATATCTTCACGATTCTTAATGAATAATGTATCAAATACGGATACATCATCATCGAATACGACAAGATCACAACATCAACATCAATATTTTAATACATCGGATGGTGATCAATCTCAAACACTAAATCCTATATCATCGACGTCATCATCATCGATTTCAATCACCAATTTGGAAAATCATCCTCTATCCAATAACATTGGCTCGAATTATCATCAACAACAACAACAACAACAACAACAACAGCAACATCAATCGAATGCTAAAATGGTGAAAATTCTTTTGATTTTTTTTTTTGACAATCGTTATTACCGCTCGAATTGATAGATACAATGCATATTATGTCATAATAATAACTAAGGGAAAAATTTTTGTGGCCACGCGGCCACTAATAATTTTATCTACTCTGTGTATAGCAAACGAATTCATTGTCGAATGAATGAATCTGAAATTGTTGTGTCGTGTGTGTGTATGTATACACATTCCACAACTTTTGTTTGTGGTAGAATTATTAAAAAACAAAATTCTTTTACGGTTTGCCGATCCATTATTGGTTGTTTGTTCTTGGCTAAACATAAAAAACGAAGACTTTAATTTTTCTTCTTACTATTTTTTTCTTTTTATTTCATTTTTGTTATTTTAATTAATTATACTTGTAATTTCGATTTTTTCCACAGTATTTACAACAGAATGATTTAAATGTTAGCTATAAAGAGGGCAAAGTTCGTTCACAATCAGTTCGATTGTTACATAATGATGATGAGATTAATCATCATCATAGCCAGTTTCCATCTTCGTCTTCATCATCAACATCATCATCATCATCATCATTATCATCGATGATTGAAGAAGAAGAAATAATTGAAGAGTCAGAAAATGGTCAAGGTAGTCAAACAAATAATCATCAGCCCAATAATAAAAATAATAATCATTCAAGTAATACGACAAATTTGATGCCAGTATTACCACCATTTCCAACTAATGAAGAATTACAATTATGTCATAATTATCACAACAATTCGGTAAGTTTATATATGTTTGTTGAATTTTTTATTTGTTTCTTTCATCGAGTTCTCGAATCTTGATATGTTTTTTTTGGAACTACATAAAACTTGAATACAAAACGTTTAGAAATGTTTGTAGAACCATGACTGACAATGATGATGATGATAATTGTTCAAAAGTCGATAATAATGATGATATCGACTTGTTTCGACAAATTTTTGATGAACAATTCAATACAGATAAGTTTGGTTGTATTACGAAAAATTTTTGCATAGATACAATTGATCAAACAACATTGGATCGTATGATCACAGTGTTGAATTCGTGTGAATTTCGAAAGACAATTGAATTTCTTGATTACGATAATGGGTCAAGTGTATTTGAGTTGCCGGAAAAACGTCAACAACAAAAACAACAACATTCAAATGATCGAATGAATGAAGTAAATTTACAAAATTTATTAACTATGGATGAATATAGTGAATGTGATGTTTTGGCACGATTGACTGGTATTACTGTTGCTATACGTTCGAATCCATGTACAAAATCTGAATTAAAATCAATAATTCGTTATGAAATAGAACGTCAAAAAAGCAAATGCAAACAAAATGATTTGGATTTGAAAAAGAAATATCGTAGTGGTGATTCACATTGGCATCAATTAAAACAACGTTTACGTATCTATAATTTTTATCTAATAAAGAAAATGTTTGATTCAGTAAATTGTGTGATGACATGTTGGATGCTTTGCTTTTGTACTACCATGCTTCGTTAAATAATCATATATCATATATAAATAACAAATGAATAAATAAATATTTTATACCTTAAAAATAGATACCAACATTTTTGCTTATGTATCGTGCTCATTGTCAACGAATTTTGGATGCAATCGTACGGGCCAATTTTGATGAGGTACATACACTTGTTTATCATTTCTGGCAACAAATTCCGCCACATCTCACGCCGGTGATGAATAGTAATTTGTTCATCAATCTTTTGGCCATATGCGATATCCGGCTATATCGAACGATCATTAAAATTATTTCAATGACATTTGTTCAACCGCTTTCCCAAATGTGAGTAAATATTAATAAAAAAATTCAAACAAAAAAAAAATCATTGTTATTATTTAATATTAAAATGTCCACGTCAATTCATATATATAGTGCTTACACTCAATTAGAAAATTTTGCTGCTACATATGATTCCGTTTTACAAGCTGCTTTACCGCGGGAAAATGTTTTATTGATTCAGATCAAAATAGAATTGGCTAGACATTTTATCATAATGATTAAATGTCTTCTACGACATTGTCGTCTATTTCATACATTACAAAATCAATTATTCAATAATTGTAATAATATAGCAGGAAATCTGCTGAAACAATTACATCAAGATTGGATGCGAATTGATTTGAACAATCTTTGTGATAAGATTATTGAAATTTATTATAAAACCGGAACTATTAACTATTTGGGCGGAACTATTTATTCGGCAAATGTGTATGAAAAATTGCATAAATTATTATATAAATGTAAGAGGAATTGTATCTCATGTATAAAATATTAACCGAACGAATACAACAAATCTAGATTTTTCCGAATTCAAATTATTGGTTACCAATATGGTTGATTGTACTCAATTATTGGATTTGTTTGAAAGTACATGGAATGAATCGATGAGAATTTATTTTCAACATCGACAACATCACACATCTGATGAACGTTCCACAACAACAACTTTTTTGGACGCAGATTTTGCCCGTAATTTTCTGATCATTTGGACATTTGTCAAATGGCAAATCATACAAGAATTGATGAAAATAAAAGCTTCAAGTCATGGTTTGTCAAAGCTCCTTTCAATCATTAATTTCGATGCATAAATTTAATTTCAACATTCATTACAGATTTATTCGTGACTTTTGGCGGACTATTGGATGACTTTTGTATTTATAAGATCAAGGACATTTATTTTGATCATTGTGTGAAACGGTTTTATGCAAATGCAGCAATGAATTCCAAACCATCATGGCCGCAAAATCATTGTTATGATCCTATGGGTTAGCTTAATATTATTTGTTTATTATTTTGAAAATTTATTTTTTTCAAAATTTAGAATTGATTCGCCATACAACATCATTGGCAAGTAATCTGACTTGCCAACAACCAAATTCAGATCAATTTTCCGAAACATTTAACGATGGTAATTCAACAGGTTCGAATAATTTTGGATCGAATAATGGCTGTACTGACAGCCATCATCATCATCATTATCATTATCATCAGAATCCATATCAAGCAAATATAATTAATCCCGAAGTTGATGGCTATGGCAATACATCTTTCACAACTGAGCATCAGCAACATCAACAGTATAGAAATAATAATAATAATAATCATTATACACAACAATATCAAACGCGACAAGATAGTCTAATTTGTTTTTCAATGAATTTTCATGCCAATTCTATCCAGGTAATGACAGCACCTTCATCATCATCATCACCATCATCATCATCATTGATGGGTACAGGTATTGGTGATGTATGTTCGACAACAACAGCAGCAGCAACTGTATCACCATCCACACCAATCAATGATATATATCATCATTATCATCATAGGCAATATCAAACATTGCCTAATAATATTCCAGTTTCAGATACATCACCTACAATTACAACATCAACATCAACGAATGTAGGTCAAACATCATCATCATCATCAATGGCCAATAATGGTAAATCGATACGTTATTATTTCACATCGGAAAATTGTCAAAATATTTACAACGCTAATAGCAGCAATAGTATTAATAATCGTTGAAATTAATATCAAACACACCGCAGACACAATATTGAAAGTTTTATGGAAAAAAACCTGCTTATTTTATTTATTTATTATCATTGTTTTTATCGATTCAGACGGATGGATTGATGTTATATTCTAAGGTTGTGTGTGTATGTGAAGGAGAGAAATGTGAATTTATATTTGAAAAAAAAGATCGATCATGAAACAAAAGAAATCAATTACCTTGACCCATAAATATTGACCAAAACACACACACACACAATCAAATAGATCTGATGATGACACATAGCTTTGTGATGTGAATAATAACTCCGGTTTCATTTCTTTAAACAAAAAAAAAACAATATATTAAAAAATTCATTTTTTTCATTTGATTTTTATTGAAATTATATTATTTAGTAAAAAAAATTATCATTTGACTGACAAGACTTTTCAATGTCATTCATAATGATGTTTTTCTGAATTCGCATTTTTTATATCAGTTGATCTTGCATCTTATTTTTGATTTGTTGCTTCTGAATTATCCAAAATTGATTAGTTATATACATTTATAATCAAACAATTAATAGAATGACATAGATGTCATAATAATTTATATTCAAAATTAATTCAAAAATTAATTACAGAAAAATTGTTTAATTAATGAGAAAACAATTTCATTAATGAATTTTGTAAAAAAATGAATTTTTTATTTTATAAATTTATAGTTGTCATGTTTTTTTCAGAATTATAATTTATTACTATATTTGACCAATTTTTTCGCCTCTTCAATATTCGGCTCAAATATTTTAAAATATTTTTCAATCTCCTTTTCAGTAAAACCAAATTTGGGACCCAATTCTTGAATCGATGGACATTGTCGTGTTTCTTCAAAATCAGTGAAATCAAAATCACATTCGCCACCTAGATAACGTGGTAGATTTTTTGCAGGAATGTATTTGAAAATTTCTTCACCATCACAAAATCGTAAAGTTCGTTCAGCACTTCCAAGAAAAACTTTAGTAATCGACCACATCGGACGTAATATTCTTGGTAAATTATAAATGATAGCATATCGCAAACCATATGGATAATATAATTGAACTAGTTGAATTAAAAATTGAAGAAATTCGATATCTATATTCGACCAACTCACTCCGAATGCATCAAACATGAAAACAAAACCATTGCGATCACTTTTCTGATCTACATAATTGATTATACCGGCAGTGAATTGTCGAAAAAAATCATTCAATACCTGAATTTTTCTATATACTTTGACACGCAAATAGATAACATTACGACCTTTGTAATCGGTACCCAATGGAAACAATGCAGCTGTTTTAGCAAATTCAATAGGCAAATCTTTAGCATCACGATCATTGATTCCAAAACTTTTTCGCCATTTAAAAGCCTCGATCATTTGTTTAAGAGCTTTTTCTTCATTGCCACGTTGCCATTTAATAAAACGTAATGTCCACCATTCATTTTCCATGATCATATTGATATCTGTTTCATGAAATAATTTCGGATCATTTCGATAATGATTCAAAAACTTATTCCGAACATTGGCAATTTTATCGGAATAATCGGATGAAGAATCATTATTTTCATTGCGATTCAAGAGATTATTATTGTTATTGTCCATGATTGTTATCTTGAAAAAATGATATCCAAACAAAATTACACACACATATGCACAAAACAAATCGATAGAAACAGATGACAATGATGGCTAGAAATTTTAGACAATTTAATTCGCCAGATATGATTACATTCGAAAAAATATAACTGTTATATAATTGTTGGTTGAACACGTTGACATCGACAATATAGAGATGAGAAACAAGTAACACTAGGTATTGATAAAATAAAAAATATTTCTGATGTAAAATTTTTGTGTTCAAACATAGAGGATCAATTCGTCATTGACGCCAGATTTTACGTTACTTTTCATTTCTTTCTTTTTTTCATTAGATATTTACATTCATGAAAAAAGAGAGAGTAAACAAGAGAATAGTTTGTGTTTCACAAACAACCGAAGTGCGTTATGTCATACAATATTAATATTTAAAAAAATAAATTTACAAAGTTTGCATATGGAAATTTGTGTGAAAAAAAATCATCTCTTTTTATCGATCGATAGACATTAACATTAATTATGCATGATGATGAGAATACCTTGATGGAAAATCAACATATCACATATTTAAAGTGAAAAATGTATACCATTTTCTTTTTTTTTGTTTTATAATTTCCTCAACAATGTTTACTTTTCGTCAGCTAAAATTCATGTGAAACAAATTGAAAGCGATTGTTATCGTAAACGATATTACACTCATATGTTGAATTCAAAGTTTTACATCACAAAGACATGATTTTGTAATCGAATGATGAAATAATTAGAATTTATTTGACCAAAATAAAAGTTTAATTTAAAAAAACATAAAAATGACATCATCATCATCAGATTAAATAATGATTCTTATTTTCATTTCAAAGTGTGAGGCATTTTTTTTACTTGGACACGAATTTTTTCTGGATTAGCACGTAATGATGACCACATTTTTTGTAGATCTTGATTATAATGTTTGATAATATTAGTACGTTTTAATTTCATTGCTGCTGTTAATAAATCATTATCGGGTGCCCAAATTTCTGCACACAAAGTAATCATCGATGGCAGTTCGATCGATTTCAAACGTTGTCGAATGCCAACAGCAATAATATCATCATGTACTATCTTGACGACTTCTGAATTGCCTAACAATATGTTTGTATCGGAAATAAGAGATTGTTTTGTTGATTCCAGTTGTTGTTTTACGATTGTCTTCAATGACATCAGGTTCGGCACTATTAATGCGACTAAACAATTTAGTGTTGCATTTGGCACGATACAAATATTATCCACATAGCTGCTACTTTTCAACGTGGCTTCGATCTGAAAATTTAAATGATGAATTTCAAAGCAAAAAATTAGAATAATACAAACCTTTCCCAATGAGATGAATTCTCCATTAGCCAATTTTACTATATCTTTTTTACGGTCAATTATAGAGAAAGTTCCGTCAGGATGAATTTCAACTATATCGCCAGAAATAAACCAATGAATACCATCATTATCAAAAAATGCAGCTTTATTGGCTTCTTCCAGATTAAGATAACCAGAAGATATCATTTCACCACCGATGATCAATTCACCACGAGGATTCGGTTTATCATCAATGGAATAATTTCCTTCAGGCCAATTTACTACACGTACTCGGACACCATTCAATGGCGATCCAACTCGTCCATAGGAAAGATCTTTAAAATCCATACAGAATACACCGCCAGATGTTTCTGTTGATCCATAACCTTGTATCAATGTAATATTCAAAGCACATTTGATTCGTTTTTGCAGATCATATGCTAAAGGTGCACCACCGACTACCATATATTGTAGATTACCACCAAATTGTTCTTGAACTTTTGAACAAAGAAGCATATTTACCATGGGAGTGGAATAACCTAAAATGTTGATAGATTAATGATTAAAAATTTTTAATTCAAATTTTAAAAATATCATACCTTTGCTAATCCAATAGGCTTTATAGTCGATTAAATAGTCAAAGATTGGTTTTGAGAATGGAGTTCGGTTTTTTAATTTATTATGAATCTCTTTTTGCATCCGATCTAAAACTAACGGAACAGCGATCATCACAGTTGGCTTTAGTAATTTCAAGTCACAGATTTGACCTTCAGCTAAACCTGGTGCTGATTCATTCAATGTAAACGGTGTTGCATAGCCAACTTTGACACCACCAACAAATAAAAATAATTCAATAGAAAATTCCAGAACATGAGCTTGAGGTAAATAAGCAATATAAGTATGGCTTGGTCCGGTCATCATAACATCGCGTACAACTTTTCCAATTGTCATTGCAGCTTCTTTTATTTGACGTTGCGTGATTCTAACTCCTTTAGGAATGCCTGTAGTTCCAGAAGTGTACATGATGCAAAATAAATCATCTGGTTCTAAACATTTAGATTCAATATGTCGATATTTATCGGAACGACCAAAATTTTTGATCTCATTTAATGTATAAACTTTAATGTCGGTATCAAATGTGGGAATTTTTCGCTTTTTAGGTCCTAATTATTAAATTTACAAATTGAGTTAAGTTTATAAAACTTATGTACAAAACTTACCTTCAAAATAAATGATCGTTTTAAGATTCGGACAGTTCTTGATGAAACCATGAACACGATCTATTAATTCAAAACTTACAAATATAATTTTGACTTTTGTTTGATTAAGAGCATGAATTAATCCTTGATCAGTGAGTGTATGAAATACTGTAACAATCAAAGCGCCGGATTTCCCACTTGAAATCATTGATACCAGAAAATCAACACCAGTTTCCGAATAAATGGCAATTGGATCATGTTTTTCAAAGCCAATAGCATATAATCCGCGACTAGTGGCTTCTACTTGTTCGAGAAACTCTCCATAGGTAAGCCATTTGTAATCACTTAATTTATATTTTCGTAAAACTTTCCCATCAATTTTGATCGGATTACCAGATTGATCGTGTTGAATTTCCTCTTCCAATATCTCTCGATAGCCAATCGATGGCAGATCATTCGAATATAATTCTGATCTTGCATAAATAGCTTCAGTGATGGTATTACATTTCATCAATGGATGATGTGGTATGGGAACGTCATGCTCGAATTCTAAATATTCTACATTTGATAATAATTCTGGTATGCCATCTTGTCGGATAAATTGTCCGCGTTTGATGAAATTTGCGCCACACATTTTAGCCAATTTTAAAGCTTTCCATGGTTTTTGTATTAGATAATAAATCGGTATGGTGAAAAATGTATAAACAAACACGACCGATTTGACAATGTTGACTATAATAGCCACAATTAATTCCATATAAGATAAGCCCATCGTTAATAACAATTTTATCTAAAAAAAGTCGAATTTTTATGCAAAATTTGTGATGATGATAGACGATTTAAAACAGGCTGAATTATATTTAATTTAAAAATCGAATGACAATTCGTTAATTTGAAATATTAAACTTTTTGATTTCACGATATTTTTAAACACACAAATGAATTTTTATAGCAAAAAAAAAATGATGATTTTTTTTCTTGCCGGACAACTGAATCTTATGATGAACATGAACAAAAACAAATTCAAAAATGATCGAGATAGATTCTATGTTATTCGTTGTAATCAATGTTTGTCAATAAATATTTTTCTCTTAGCCCAAAATCGAATTTATATTCAGTTCTTCACATTATATGACATGTGCAAGCTAGTACATGAAAAAATAATGTAACAAACAGTTTTTTTTATTATCAATTCCCAAGAGTGGTTCGATATCTAATACAATATAGGCGAATTGTAAAAAAACAAGTGTTGATAAGAGAGAGAGATAAAGAAAAAAAACTAAAAAGGAAAAAAGGAGAAAATTTTATCCTGGATAGAACAATTGGTCAACAAGATTTTCTTCCTCGGTTTCGTTAGAAGATTAGAAGTTAATGTAAAGGAAATGAACAAAATTCATCGTTTTTTTTCAACTTTTAAAATTCGATTGTTGTTTATTTGTAGCCCCGACACACTTATACACACACACTTATGTTGAACAATTATCATGCATATAACAATGATTAAAATGATGATGATGTGTGCGGTTTTGGGAAATTGTATTCATATGGTCCAAATCAATCAATCAATCATTTTTTAAATGCCATGTATGTACAAATAAAGGCCATCCAACAGCGATTATGATGATGATGAATACTTTTTAACACAAATCACAAATTCAATTCAATTCGTTTTCAATATTATTCATACACACTCACATACAATAAATTTTTTTTCTGGACAAGCGAAATTGTGTCAAAGATAAACGTAAAGAAAATGAAAATCGTACGGAACACTTTGTACAATTTCGTTTCGTTTTGTCTTTTTTTGTTTGTTTGTTCGTTGTAGCACATTATGGTATGATCATTTTACCTTTTGTTGTTTGTTACAAAAACGTAAAAAACAAGACACCGATGACCAAAATGTACTTTAACTTTCTCTTTCGTAAGCTTATAATTTCTCAATTTTTTCGAGAAAAAGAATTCTTCTAAGAAAGGTATGAAAAATAGGAAAAAAAACTGGATGTCTATAGGCATCTTCTATTTTATTGTCACTTCATGTGTGTGTGTGAACATTATCTTTGACTAATGTTATTGTTGTTTACATTAAATGTTTGTAAGATCTATTTTTAGGTTTAACTTCCTATAGTGTATGGTAAATTTGTATTCCATAATTTGAATTATTGAAAATAAAGAGTAATATAGTTGTTTGTTTGAGCATTTTGCCTCTTTTTCTCTATTCATCATAATGATGATGATGATCGATTTTTTTTATTCGGCCATCATATAACCGGTTTTTTTTCATTCGCCTTGTATATATTCAACGATGTGTATGAGTTTGGTTATTAAAATATGTTGCTATTTGTTCCAAAAGTGAAATTGACCGAAACAATCGATTAGAACATCCATTGAATTTTTTTCACAATTTCATATTTAATTTTTTTTCAAAATTATTGAATTTCTATTTATTGTCACTAGATGGTGAAAATGTACAAGAATTGAATAACAAATAATGAATATGATTAGGAATTTTTCTATATAATCATCATTCATTTAACAATGGACAACGTTAAATTATCATGAAAAAGTGAATTTTTTCGCTCATTTAAACAATTATTGTGAAAAATCTGCAGAAAAACTAACGTCAATCATTCTGAAATTACATCGGAATTTTTTAAAAATATAGATAAAAAGGAAATTGTAAATGGCATGATTTTGTTATTATATCTCGAGTATCAATGTCTATATACATAAATGGTCAGAGTGAGGAAAAGACTTTTCGACTTGGGTTTTTATTGTTTTCGCTGTTGCATTTTTCCCTTTTGATCAATCGATAAAGAATTTATATCCATTTTATTATTCAAAATTTTATTCCTTTTTTTTGTCTGCAACTTGTTTAATCATTCAATATTGTACATGAATGGAAAAGATTCATACATATTTAAATTAAATTAAATCATATATCTTGATTTTTTTAATTTCAAAAAGAAAATAAATAAAATAAAATAAAGAATCGATTTGTAAAATCATAGTCACCAATGATTGACTATCATTCAATTATATTGTTTTTTTTTCATTAGCTATTTTCAATGTCAATGTCAAAATATCCAATTATCTAACGCAATTCACCTTGGCATTTTTTGGAAATTTTGAAATTTTTTCATTTATTCATGCAATCATTCTCTATAAATTCTTCTTTTAATTGTTTGCAGAGTTTTTTTTCATCTAAAGATTTTTCAATTTATTGTACCTTTTGTTAAAAGGCAGATTATTCAATCAAATCATCATCGCATGTAATCATCACTGCTAATAATAATGATCAACAAAAATAGTTTGTCGTCAAATTCAATGATGCATCAATCACAATCTGATGGTAATCAAAAATCGATTTGGCAAGGAATGAAAACCAGCCCACCACCACCATCGTCATCAACAATAGAGAAAGTAAAAAAACTTGTAGTAAAGACAAACAATAATAACGTTAATGAAGAAACCTGGTTATTCACTACAAAACCTATTCGATTTCATTATCCTTTGAGCTATCAGTTTGATAATAATGATGATAGCGCTAATGCGCCTCGAAATTTAAATAAAAATAAGGATAAGATGGACACTCTACCCAGAACATTCAGCGAGATGGCCAAAGATCTTCATGATGACCAACATGGAATTGGACATAAAATCAACTATAAGCATTATGCCATTATGACTGTTTTGTTCACCATTCTTGTGCTTTCCAGTAAGGTTTTTAATTTCAGAAAATTTTACATAACTTCCTTGATTTATTCATTGTATAAAGTGATCTGGCTTCTGGCTCATGATTCGCATAAATGTACGGTTGATCAACATACTGTCGATACTTGTCTAAGACGTTTGACATTTTTTTCATCCGAAATCAATCATTTTCCTACCACTGGAAAAGAATTGGACAAATACTGCAAGTACGTATCATTGAGTTCATGATGATTTGATGTAGATTAAAAATGTTTTTTTTGTTCTGAAATTCACAGGGAAAAAATTGAAAGCGTCAAATGTTTAAGACATTTTGTTGAAGGTTGCTTAGAACCAGATAAACTTCAACGAAGTTATTTCAAAAGATTTGTCTCCAACTATCAAAGACAATTAGACAAGATTTGCCTCCGTTATACTGAACGACAAAGTTTGTTGTAGCATTATTATTACTTTTGTAATTGCTTATTAATGATTATATTTAATAGGATTTCTTGAATATTCAGACTGCCTTTCCGAAAGTGATTTGATACAAAATGTTTCCACTTGTCAGGATGCATTTCAAAATCAATTGATTTACATTGCACAGAATCTAGATGGCAAACAACGACTTCAAGCTGCATGTTGTGCTTTTGGTGCACGTTCTGATTGTTTAGATCGCACCATTTCAACCGCACCGTGCACTAGTAATGCTCAAGTTAGAAATTTTATTTTGGACCAAGTTGAAGGTCCATTTCGTGGTATTATCGATTCCGTTTGTGAACCACATCATTCCACACGATACGGTTGTCAACAATTAGTAGAACCAACACTTTATGAGAAATTATTCGAACATCCGGAAACATTAATCAAAAAATTTGATCAAACGGAAATGCTACCAGCAGATGAAATGGATTTTTCATCTTCATTGACTAATAATTCAATCGCTAATTCTACGAATTCAATTAGTTCTCGTTTTAAAGTTATTCAATTAATATTTTATGAAAATTTCCTATCTTATTTCGTCATAATCCGGTCAGATTAAATCAGTTGAATTCATTGTATATAAAAATTATAGACATTTTTTTGCAAATGAAAAAATAACAAATGAAATTTTATTATAAGCTCAAAATTTTTTAAAATTCAAAATAACATTGATTTTGTCATAGATTGTCAGAAACCAACACATGAAAATATCATTAACATAAATTATTAACCATCATAAATTGATTGGCAGAGCTTTTTGTTCGTATCGTGGATCGCGATTATAATTACGGCCATATAGAACCAATGCTCCCAATTCCATTGCTCGACTTTCTGAATTATCTTTGGCACCCAATTCAATGAAATATTCAGGTTCATTCGGTACGTTTACTTTCCAGAATTTCCATTTATTTTCGGGATAAATAAGCTGATTTTTTGAGCCAACGGCACTTGGATAAACAGCAGTATCTTCACTAAATTTTCCTCTCAATTTGGCATGAACAAATCGAGAACTAAGTTCTTGATTCGAACCGATTTTTGAGCAATCTTTTTGCATTTTTCCAAAGTTCCAACGTGATGAAGGACAGACAACTACCGCACAAAACTCTTCGGACCATGGATAAGCACCAGGTCGAGTACGATTAGCTATTAATAGATAGTATCGTTCTTCGGGAGTCAAATAATGGAGCATATTTGCTAATAATGGTACACGATCCACCCATGACTCTTGTGGTTGATCTTTCATTGCTAAACGATATTCAAACTGACAACAAACGCCTTTATGACATAGATGAACTTCAGATTCATTTGAAGATAATTGCAATAATGTTACATCTTTAAGATTCAAATTTTGATGATGATATTTCACAGATTTCGGTATTGGAATCTGTTGGGGTACTTCAATAATTTCGCTATCCAGAGGACAGGCCGATTGGTCCGTTTCTTTAGGTTTGATAGGAACATTGGCCAAAACTAAGCGTTCAACAGAATCATCGTATAATGCTGCAGCCAATGTTCTATGTGGACCAACATAAATACCACTGCCACGGGAGCCAACCTGAAAATAAAAGAAAAATTTCAATTTATGGATACAAAGATTTTTCTAGATACCTCAATACGGTGAATGTTTGAAGCTAATAATGTGACATTGTTACCAAAGGCCCATGCCATTTGATATTGACTAGAGGATAGCATTGGAGATTCATCGAACCACCAAGTAGGGAATAGCATTGTATCAAATTTGTTTTCTTGAGCCAATAAATATCCAGGTGTTTTGAAGATCATGTCAAAGCAAATCTGCATACCAAGTCGTCCTAACTCAGTATCAATGACCAATAATTCTGGTTTAGGTGGTGGATTCATACTTATTTCACCAAATAAGTGCATTTTGTGATAGCGACCTAAAAGTTTTCCTTGACGATCGAACAAGACGGCTGTATTGAATAAAAATTTCTTATCAGCAGGACAAGAATCAGAGACATTGTTTATTCCCAATTCCTCGCAAGATTTTCGATCGATTAAATCTGCAACAACAAACATTTGATGTTTTTGAGCTAAACATGCAAGTCGATTATACACAAATTTTGAATCCAAAGTACACGCATTCACTTCGGCATCAGGAATATCAGAAGCGAATTCGTCAGCTTTTTCACGACTTAAAATCGAATAGATTAGACCATTTTCGGGAAAAACGATAATATCAGCACCCTAAATAAAAAATTAGAAAGTTTACAATTTTTGGAGTCAATTTTAATTTAAAAGTACTTGTTTTTTGGCTAAAGCAGCTGCATCTTCATAGACTTTAAAATTCAAATCGATTATCTTGGCAGTATTGGATAAATGGCGAGCATCTGTTTGATGGACATGATCGAGAACAGCGGCTCGAAAGCAACCTTCCGGTGCACTTTTTGCTTCGATCCCGATAATTGTTACCAATAATAACAACAACCAACATCGGATGGGTTGCATGCTTATGGCTTCAAATGACAAATTGACTTGATGTGTAATTAAAATAGATTGATTAATGATTGATTCATCCGTCTTAAATCAATCAATTATATACATATGTAAATTATTTGCATGTACTTTCTAAAATCATTAATCAAGTATAAAGTATTTTCAAGTATTATTAGTAAAGTATTATTAATCAAGTATTTTTTCAGTGATAAAGTCCATGTACTGATTTTATCACTGAAAAAATCCTCTTGAATTTAATTGAAATAAAATCAGCTTTTGAAAATAAATCGGATGATTTTTGTTTGTATTGATGAGCGCATGTCTTGTTTCAGTGTTTTCTTTTTTTTTTCGAATACGTTCTTTATGACGGATTAATAAACGTGATAATTTTTCCGTTGCAATATTTCCTGCTCAACATATTTTCATATTCATTTCATTATATGATTTTTCAGGATTTCTTTGGATAATATTGAAAAAAATTTTTTAAAAATTTTTCGAAAAATGGATCAACGTTTACCGCCATTGAATAGAGACAATTGGACAGAATGGAAAACTAAATCGAAAATCATATTGACTCGTTTGAATATATGGTCATTTGTCAATGATGATCAACCTCCAGAAAAGCATAAAGCATTAGATGATGCAATTATTGATATGATTCTTTTGTCTATCGAAGACAATTCTTTAATTTCATTAGCAAAAAATTGTACAACATCGAATCAATTGTGGCGTACATTAAGCGAATATTTTGAACCCTCAACAACAAATCATAATTTGGATATTAAGCCAAAAGACGAGAATTGCGATTCATTTAGTATTGCAAGTCAAAACAAACCGGAAATTCGTAATATTCACACTCAAACATCAATGTTGAATATATCCAATTCTTTGCGTTTACCCGATGATTTTGAAGAACTTTTTGTACTTGTTCAACAATTGGAAATTAAATTAATCGAAACTTTGTCTGAAATCAATGATGAATCTTTGATTATCGAAAAAAGCAATATGGTTCGGCTGCAATTTTTAGACTTCATTGATGTTGTTGAAAATTTTTGTACTCCTTCAAACAGTGATGAAAAACGATCTATCAAAAACGATTCAAATTTACTCAATGATATTTCCAAATTTGAACCTTGCAAAATTGAAGCTAACAGTCATACTCATTCTCCATCTGACAAATCGAAACCAAAAGAGAACGGCTGTCAAAATTCAATAATATCTGAAACTATTATGACCTATGTAAATAATGATTCTTTGCTTGATGACCAGCATAACAAGATCGAAAATGAAGAAGTTATTGACGAAATTTTGGTATATTTCAAAGATTCTTCTAGTGCGACTGTTGTTGATAATGAACGATCACTTCCTTTAGATGCTGTTACTGATAATTTTACTTGGTTGCAGACTAACGATATAAATCTCTGGTCTCGTTTATTGATTCTTGATCCTAAATTTTTGTCGAATTTGCATAAATTTTATTGCCATTATTGTGGTGAATATTGGCTTTTTGATGCTGATGGGAAAGTATTCCGTTATGGTCATCGAGATCGATCCAAAGAAAATTTTGAAACAATTGATCCACCAATATTAATGAAAGAATTGTGTAATAAACCAATTAAATCGATTGTTTCTTGTAAAAATTATAAGAGTTACTGGTCTATGATTCTAACTTATGCTGGACAGCTTTATGCTATTGGCGACAATTCCCGTGGACAACTTGGCATTGGTAATAAAGAAACTCAAGATTACCCAATTTTAATTTCGAAAAATATTTCGAAAGTTTCATGTGGTTTATTTCATGCTTTGGCGCTAACTCATGATGGTAGAGTGTTAAGTTCTGGTTCGAACCTATTTTTTCAAAACGGCAATGAGATTCAAGGTCAAAACAACTTGACCCTGGCCGTAATCGAATTGTTTAAAGATGACATAGTCATAGATATTGCTTGTACTATGAATGCTTCATTAATCTTGAAAAAAACTCGTGAAATATGGTTGTTCGGTTCGGTTAATAAGGTCGTTTTCTATCCACCGAGGTTTGTTTCATTTGATTCATTTGTTACACGAATCATCGGTGGCCAACAGGAATTTATTGTTCTTTCTAATAATTTTGCACAAAATCATGATTCTGCTAGTGATCAGGCTCATATATATCAAATTGCTGATGAAAAAAAACTGGTTCGTTACAATATCAATTTGGATTCAAGATCGAAAATATTAGATGTTTATCAACAAAATTATTTCAGCAATTATATATTTGTTACTAATGATGGTCTATGTCACATTTATAAACACGAAGATCGGGAAAATTCCCCAATACCATTATTATCAGTACCCGATGTTTTTAGTTTGTTTTTATATCCTCAGACCGGATCGATTATCCATCTGCCAAAAAAATTGGTTAATAATCCTGAAAGTATTCCAACATTGAACAACCCAAAAACGGCTGATATTATTTTTAAATTTTCCAATATGAATGTATTGTATGCTGAACGTCAACGTTTAATTGGACGTTCTCATTTTTGGTATGAATCGTTGACTAATGGCCAATGGTCGATTAAATACCCTGCCATTATTGACAATGAATTTTTGCTATTTTATCTATATTTACGTCATGTCTATGAAATGCCTGAACTACAAATCGATTTGCAGAATTCCATTCAAGAATTGAGAAAATTGGCCAAAGAATACGAAGACAATGATTTTCTTTCCTACCTGGACAATTTTGTTGATCGTAATGCCAAAAAGCCTATTTTGAATTAAGTTCTATGTCTATTTTTTTTTGTTTAAATTTCAATCTTAAAAATTTAATCTTTTTTTGAAAATTTTTTAATAAACGATAATGAATGAATAAATGAATAAAATGGAATTAACGATAGTATAAGATAAAAAAAATAAAATGATTCTTTTGTTCAATTTAAAATGGTATGATTATCGAAAATATTACGTCGCTGTTCTTTCACTTGACGTTTCCATTTGTTTTGCGAATGACCGACACGATTCAAAACACCGATCGGTCCTACAGTCGCTATATTTACATTTTCGGCAGGTCCGCTAAAGCTTTAGAGAAAAAATTAAATTAATAATTTGAATTTAAGTTATTATCAATACGTACGATGGTGATATTCGATGTCGAGCCGATTGACTATCTGAATCTCGTTGAGATGGTTGTGGATGTTGCTGATGCTGCTGCTGCGATCCATCTGATGGATGTTCTTCATGTTCTTCTAATGAAACTTCTTCGTTGAAATATTTATAACTGTTTCGTGATTGACCTGGTGACAATCAAATAAATTATTGAAAAATTTATTTTAAAAATGAAATATAAAAATAAATACGTTTATGAATCCATGGATCAAGAATCATTAGGAAAAGCATGTAAATGACCAAAAATGATATGACACCAATGATGAAGATGACAAAAAAACGAATAATAGATGTATCCCTTGATTCATATTTACATTCACAACGTGGACAAAATTCCTTCGCTTTCGATTGAACATCAGATGATAACTGTGGCAGAACGACGAAATCACAATTACATTGATTAGGAGCAACATTTCTGATGTATAATTTTCTCGTAGTTCCATTGGTTGCATTGCTTACAACACTCGGTACCGGACATATACATTTACATCGAACATCTTCATATTGGCCATCAACTGTTCCAATGATCAACATGAAAAATGGTAAACATATTAATAATATACAAAAATCAATTTGATTTGCCATTTCAAAAACCTCAACGAATGAAAAATATTAGGTCATTTTCAAGATTGAATTTTTTAATCAAAAAAAATGATCTTGAGTACACAGAGAGAAATAATTGCGTAACAGCTTATATGAATAGCTATTCACAATTAAATCTTCATGTTGCACTGAACAGATGGCGCTGATTTTCAAAAGTTTATACGCGTTGCGTCAGTTCAAAATTTTTGGAAATTTTTTTCATGAAAATTTTGGAAAGTTTTTTCATGAAATAAAATTATAAATTGTGGCGATTGTCAACAGATGGCACTGATTTTTAATTATTAAAAAAAATTAACTTTTATTTTTTTTCTGATCCTTTTTTTCTGATCCTTTTTTTCTGATCCTTTTTTTTCTGATCCTTTTTTTCTGATTCTTTTTTTTCTGATTCTTTTTTTT